ATATATATATATATATATATATGCAAACTAACATACTAATGATCTTCGGAAAAACGTCACAAATGATTGGAAGATCAAATGAATAGAAATAGGATAAATATTGAGCTTTTGTTTTCCGGTGTTTTACAAACCGTTTAACTTATTTTGTAAAAAAAACTAATGGGACATAGAAAACATAGCATTCTAAAATCAAATATTCCAGCACAGAATGTTAGCTTTCTAACGTTTCAATTTATGAATTGAAAGTTTCCTTTTTATATTTCATTTTGACCAATTTTAATCAGTTTGTTTTCACTTCTATTTTAATCTTCAGCCTGCTTAACAATGAAAATTTGTAGCTAAATTTTTCGCCTTCTTTATGACTACAATTGAATGAATTTATCAAAAACTAATATCTGATCACTAATAATCTCATTAACAATCGATAGTAGTGCACCGACAACAAACAAGCATTATCAAATCTTTCAACATTCTGCTAACAGCTACTCTAATGAGCATTTTCCTAGACTCTTTTTTCAGTTTTAGGACAGTTCAGTCAAAAGTTACATTTATTCATTTCGTTAAAAGGACTCTATTTGACAAGAATTACACATATAAAAATTCTGTTTTTCCAGATGACATTTAATCCTCTTCGATCAGACCGTTTGCAATTTATTGCTTTGATAATCAACAAATATTCGTCTTGATAATTTTTTAAAACAAATATTTAGCTTTTTTATCCGCGAAAGGGATATTCTGAAAGAATTCGAGACAGGAAAAAAATTGGACAAAAAGGAGATGTATATGCTTTGCAAAAAATATTCTTTCTCCAAATACCGAAATACAAATCAGATTTCAAATCTATTTTACAACATTTAGCTGCTTCTTCCCCCCACAGAAATACTTTTCCTAACAGAAGAAAAAAAAATTTTTGGTGGCTTTAGTAGAACGAAAAAAAATAGGAAATTTGGTTGAACATCTGCTGTAGCATAAATCATATAGTTTGATGCTACTCCTGCTAGCATTAATGAATCTTACCAGTGAAATGCACCAATTACTTACTATTCATCCTACTCTTGAACTTCTCAAAGTTTCACAGAAAATTTTCAAATCCCAAAACTTTTCTTTGGAAACATAGTGCGATCAAAGAAAAATTAAATTCAATAGCTAAAAAAAAGCGTAAAAATACGGAAATGAAGTGAAAGTTCAAGTATTAAATGAACATATCGAACCACATTTTCAACCGCTATTAATGAAACAGTGATAACGACAATAATCATTGCAATGACAATATCAAAAGACCATGATGGATAAAAATTATGACGATTACCAGAGAACGTGAATAGGACGAACATTTAACATTAAAAAAAGGACTACTGAGAATCAAAATGTCTGTTCAAGATGTCCGATAATCATCATTCCACGCATTTACGATAATTGAATAATCCCATTAATTCATGAATTTTGGATAAGAATATTTCGGATAATGAAACAGAATCCGCGACTCGAAATATTTCATGAATTAATGGATAAGTTTTATAAGTTGTAGTGATAAGTGTAACGACAGTGATGAAGATGATAATGATAAATCAGCGATAACAACCATAATAAATAATGTAAACGAATGTGAATAATGATGACAACGATCAAAGTGAGAAGGATAACGATACTAGAGGACGTTCACCAATTTCTGAGAAAAAGAGAGAACAATCTGTAAAATTTCAAACTAATCTAAATAAAACTGACTGCGTCTTTCCACAGATAAAACTAGGTAAAACAGTTGCTGCATTGGATGAGTGGAGTATGGTTCTGGAGGTTAAATAATTTATATTGAATAAAAATATTAGTAATAAACATTCAATACATTAAAATATAGTAATAAACAAGTTTGTGCCGCATCACTGGAACCACACCGAGTAACACTGTTGTTTATCAACAAGGAGAATTTGAATGAAACTTTTCATTTCAAATCAAGACAACATTCCTAACAAAAGTTTACAATTCAAAATTACACAATTTCAACTTACGATCTTTCATGTATTCGATAACTTCCATGTACCCAGTAATCTTCAAACTCTGTGATGCTTACCTTGATAACTCGATTTCCTCTTCAGCAGAAATTTATTGACTAAAATGACTTTTACTAAAAGAAAACTATTTTTAGTTCCCAAAAAAGCAGGCAAATTTTCTGGATTAGTCCAATAAATTTCAAAAATAAGAAGGAAAACAAATATGACTATGAAAAAAAACGAATAACATATCTCGAATTAAGAAGTTTAAATCAGGAAATTAGCATATGTTACGGATGATGAATAGTAATCCTTTGATCTGAAACGTTTAAAGTTGGGAAACGGCCAAAACTGCTGCGCAAACCGGAGATCATACATGCGGACAGAAGAGCAGTCTGAATCGATTAACTTTTCTATTATTTTAGCCTGGTACTGGATAATGTTCACATTTCTTTAAGATATCCATCTATGTTTTGAATGATAAGAACAATTTTTCCCAATAAATACAAAATAATGTTCCATAAATTAATGATGTTCCACAATTACTGCTGCTATGGATGACAAATGCGGTTGGTGAAACGTCCTTTTACCAGAAATTTTCCAGTAGTATCACTACTCGCGAAACCGAAATTTAAATTTTTGTAAATACACCACCCTTTTTTCCTCCAGACACTACCAGTTACCGCCAGTCTGAATCAACCGGGTACAGAAACCAGAAAATTGCGATCAAAACCCGTTTCAATGGAACTGAGAAACATGGATGTAATTACATTATTTTACTACTAATACAACATCTACTACTTACTGCTACTACTACTACTACTTACTGCTACTACTACTACTACTACCATTATTGCTACTACCCAACTACTACTGTCATTGCTGTTAGAAACTGCACATTTTGCTAGAATCATTAAAAAAGAATGGTGAATTATGGATATTAAATGTTCGACCAATATGATTTCATTGAAAGTAAGGCCAATGATTTCACTACAAATGCTCTCATGAAGCGAATAATCATTGTATATTACAACGACGATTACAATGAGAAAACGGTCTACAGTATCCATCAAATAATCATCTTAACGGTGTGGGATCCCGGAGGGAAATAACAAAAAACCATACTGCTGTCACCTTCAATCAAGCATTTTTGATACTTACATATTTTATGACGCTGCAAGGACAACAGTGTTCTGCAAGTACCAATGCGCATAACACTCAAGGTTAAATCCGTTTCTATTGTGCTTTCATTTCTGGGCTATAAACAGACACTGTGATACTATAGCATTGATATAGCAAGTCTTTTCCCCCCAGTTAAGTGAGCATATTCTGTTATCATTGTGATACTGGTCTAAACTGTCGAGAGGCTTATAAAATGTATAAATAAAGTTGAAAGATACAAGGAACGGTTCAGGTGAGGATATGTTATAAAGGAGGC